ACACATGGTTGTATGCGGTCTCCCTGGTGTTGGCGTTGTAGGAGGAACACATGGTTGTAGCTGTCTCCCGCTTGTGTTGTGGGAGAACACATGGTTGTGGAGCTGTCTCCCTCTGGTGTTGAGGAACACGTGATTGTATGCTGTCTCACTGGTGTTGTGGGAGGAACACATGGTTGTAGGCTGTCTCTGGTGTTGTGGGAGGAACACATGGTTGTATGCTGTCTCCCGCTGGTGTTGGCGTTGTAGGAGGAACACATGGTTGTAGCCTGTCTCCCCGTTGGTGTTGTGGGAGGAACACTGGTTGTAGGCTGTCTCCCCTCTGGTGTTGTGGGGAACACATGGTTGTAGGCTGTCTACCTCTGGTGTTGTAGGGGAACACATGGTTGTACCGGTCTCCCCGCTGGTGTTGGGTTGTAGGAGGAACACATGGTTGTAAGCTGTCTCCCGTTGGTGTTGTGGGAGAACACATGGTTGTAGGCTGTCTCCCCTCTGGTGTTGGGGAACACATGGTTGTATGCTGTCTACCGCTGGTGTTGTAGGGAACACATGGTTGTAGGTCTCCCTCTGGTTGGTGTTGTAGGAGGAATACATGGTTGTAGGCTGTCTCCCTGCTGGTGTTGTAGGAGGAACACATGGTTGTAGGCTGTCTCCTCACTGGTGTTGGGGCAGGAGACACATGGTTGTAGGCTGTCTCCCACTGTTGCTGTGGGAGGAACACATGGTTGTAGGCTGTCTCGCCACTGGTGTTGTGGGAGGAACGTGGTTGTGGGCTCTCCCTGCTTGGTGTTGTAGGAGGAACACATGGTTGTAGGCTGTCTCCCTCTGCTGGTGTTGTAGGAGGAACACGTGGTTGTCGGCCATTTCCTGCTGGTGTGTGGGAGGAACACATGGTTGTAGGCTGTCTCCTCACTGGTGTTGTGGGAGGAACACATGGTTGTAGGCGTCTCCCTGCTGGTGTTGTAGGAGGAACACATGGTTGTAGGCTGTCTTGCGCTGGTGTTGTGGGAGGAACACATGGTTGTAGGCTGTCTCCCGTTGGTGTTGTTGGAGAACCGTGGTTGTAGGCTGTCTCCCGTTCGTGTTGTTGGAGAACACATGGTTGTAGGTTGCCTCCCACTGGTGCTGTGGGAGGAACATGGTTGTGGGCTGTCTCCCACTGGTGTGTGGGAGGAAACATGGTTGTGGCTGTCTCCCTTCGTGTTGTTGGAAGAACCGTGGTTGTAGGCTCTCCCGTTCGTGTTGTTGGAAAACATGGTTGTAGGCTGCCTCCCCATGGTGCTGTGGGAGGAACACATGGTTGTAGGCTGTCTCCCCACTGGTGTTGTGGGAGGAACACATGGTTGTAGGCTGTCTCCCCACTGGTGTTGTAGGAGGAACACATGGTTGTAGGCCATCTCCTGCTGGTGTTGTAGGAGAACACATGGTTGTAGGCCGTCTCCTGCTGGTGTTGTAGGAGGAACACGTGGTTGTCGGCCATTTCCTGCTGGTGTTGTGGGAGGAACACATGGTTGTGGCTGTCTCCCCACTGGTGTTGTAGGAGGAACACATGGTTGTAGGCCGTCTCCTGCTGGTGTTGTAGGAGGAACACATGGTTGTAGGCTGTCTTGCGCTGGTGTTGTGGGAGAACACATGGTTGTGGCTGTCTCCCGTTGGTGTTGTTGGAAGAACATTGTTGTAGGCTGTCTCCCCGTCGTGTTGTTGGAAGAACACATGGTTGTGGGTTCCTCCCACTGGTGCTGTGGGAGGAACACATGGTTGTAGGCTGTCTCCCCACTGGTGTTGTGGGAGGAACACATGGTTGTAGGCTGTCTCCCGTTATGTTGTTGGAAGAACCGTAGTTGTAGCTGTCTCCCGTTGTGTTGTGGAAAAACATGGTTGTAGGTTGCCTCCCCACTGGTGCTGTGGGAGGAACACATGGTTGTGGGCTGTCTCCCCACTGGTGTTGTGGGAGGAACACATGGTTGTAGGCTGTCTCCCGCTGGTGTTGTTGGAAGAACACGTGGTTGTAAGCTGCCTCTTGCTGGTTTTGTAGGAAGAACACATGGTTGTAGGTGCCTCCCACTGGTGTTGTGGGAGAACACATGGTTGTAGGCTGTCTCCCACTGGTGTTGTGGGAGGAACACATGGTTGTAGGCTGTCTCCCCTGGTGGTGGGAGGAACACATGGTTGTAGGCTGTCTCCCCTGGTGTTGTAGGAGGACACATGGTTGTAGGCCGCTCCTGCTGGTGTTGTGGAGGAACACATGGTTGTAGGCTGTCTTGGTGAGGAACAATGGTTAGGTGCCTTGGTGGGGAGACACTGGTTTGGTGCCTCCCCTGGTGTTGTGGGAGGAACACATGGTTGTAGGCTGTCTCTGTTCGTGTTGTTGGAAGAACCGGGTTGTAGGCTGTCTCCCGTTCTTGTTGTTGGAAGAACACATGGTTGTAGGTTGCCTCCCACTGGTGCTGTGGGAGGAACACATGGTTGTAGGCTGTCTCCCACTGGTGTTGTGGGAGGAACACATGGTTGTGGCTGTCTCCCGTTCGTGTTGTTGGAAGAACCGTGGTTGTAGGCTGCCTCTTGCTGGTTTTGTAGGAAGAACACATGGTTGTAGGTTGCCTCCCCACTGGTGTTGTGGGAGGAACACATGGTTGTAGGCTGTCTCCCCACTGGTGTTGTGGGAGGAACACATGGTTGTAGGCTGTCTCCCCACTGGTGTTGTGGGAGGAACACATGGTTGTAGGCTGCCTCTTTGCTGGTTTTTGTAGGAAGAACACATGGTTGTAGGTTGCCTCCCCACTGGTGTTGGGGTAGGAACACATGGTTGTAGGGTGTCTCCTTGCTGGTGTTGTAGGAAGAACACATGGTTGTAATCTGCCTCACTGGTTGGTTCTCATGTTAGGTATGGTTGCTATCTCCCGTTTGGTCTGTAGTGTCATAAACATTGACTTGATAACAGCCAAGGTTGCCACTGTCCACCTGAGTGTCTAGCTACCATTTTTTCTATTGTTTTTGGGATGACAGTTTTGATCAACAATCCTTGCCCTGGGTATTTAGTGGGGAGGAAAGGCTGGAGAAGGGGAATGGGTGTCAAATGTTGACCCATTAGGCCACTCCGTAGGAGAGCCAAGAACCACGTCTGTTTATGACAGTACAGGTTGCACCTTTCTAGTCCGGCAACCTCGGGACCTGACCGGTGCCGGACCATGGAAATCACCTTTTCCTGGATAGATAGTGACTTGTGCTTATGCTTGGGAGCACTAGCACCACTTTCTCTGCTTCATGGTCTCTTTGAAGACATATTGAAGGGTTAAATGTCGTATCAGTGCTTCTCAAATTTCGCGAGTTTTAATTCTAAGTTTTTTATTTGAACACACCAAAAACAAAACAATTTAAAATTTTACGGTGGAAACTCGAATTTTGTGTTTTGAGCGGCCCACAACGTTCAGGCGGCCGGACACAATCATGTAAACAGCGTCATTTCTCTTATGTACAAAGATTCATTATTGTTTATTACTGAATGTCTTTATGATTGAATTAATGTTTATGTGTGCAAAATGAGCAATACAATTCATTAATAATACGTAGAATATTAAAACACCGGAGGAATTGAGACAGTATTGTTTTAGTTGATTACAAAACCAGTGACTGACTGGTTCTACATATAAAACTGAAGAAAATAAGACCTGGTTGTAGCTGTAGTAAAATTAATATGGTTGTTTTAAGTAATGTTATTTAATGTTAATAAATGGAACAATAAAGTAGCTAACGATACTGGTAAAGAAAAAAAAGAGATCGTATGTAAGTGCATGAATGTTAACATCTATCATATTGCTCTATACAAGAATATGAAAGCAACACTAATTTACGTTCATATATATTTTGATTAATGTTTCTGATTTTTCATTGAACTAATGTTTGTGTGTGCAAATTGACAATACAATTCATTAATAATATCGTGGAATATTAACAGCGAGGCGAGGCGGCTGCTGGCATTGTTTTCGTTAATGCTTACAAAACCAATTGGTTCTACATATAAAACTGAAAGAAATAAGACCTGATTGTAGCTGTAGTAAAATTAATGATAAAAAATTAATATGGTTGTTTGAAGTACCTGTAATGTTATGTAATAAATGGAACACTATAAGTAGCTAACCATTAATGGTAAGAAAAAAGTGAGACTCTGGCGTAATATGCAAGTATGCATGTGAAAATATCGTCATTACTCTACATAAGAATATGAAAGCAACACTTATTTACTGCTCATATATATTGAAGGGTTAAATGTTGTACTCTGTAGACAAGCAGATAGAGGGAGAGAGCAGCCGACCTGCGGATGTAAACAAACCTTAATTTCAGCGGCTTTGTTTTTGTTTTTTATGGGGATTAACCCACCCAGGCATAGGTCACTGACCCACATTAGGGCATGAGGGCAAAAATTTAATACTCCTGAATAATAATAATAAAATAATAATAATAATGCAGATAAGTAAAAAAAAAAAAAAAAAAAGCTGCCTATCTACCTATTGGACAAACTAAAAGCATTCGAACCCGGGAGTTTCGGACCACAGAATGCGGACTAAAGAGGTACAACCTGTAGTAGGCGAGAGAGAGAGAGAGAGAGAGAGAGAGAGAGAGCATATACTTTTTGGGGGGGTGGAAAGTTTATTGATGGGTAAACCATGTTATCTGTCTGGTAAAGTAATTGCAGAGATTTAATGTGGGCAAATAAGTGAAATGTCTGTGTTGCTCATGAGATTTGGCCACTGTGCACCAAAGCGGGGAAGGATTTGCAAAAATAAATGAAATAAAAATAATACATTTATATAATATCTAGATTAAGGCACCAACTTTAAATTCATTGATAAATTGATCAATCAGTAAACATAAAATCACATAACAGCTTCATGTATTGTATAGTTTTATAATACTTCTGTACTGTAGTGTGCAGTGTACACTACAGTACATTGTACACTGTGGATAGAACATTCACTGGTCTAAAGTTTCTGTATACTGTACTGTATCTTGAATTGTAAATGAAGTTTAGTTACAAATATCCCTCTGGTATCTGCCTTACTGATCTATCAAAATTATCTCCTTTTCAGTTAATATTCTTCATAGGAGGCTGGGTATGGTTTGTTAAAAAGATCTTCCGTGATTATGAGGTCCACAACACCCTTGTTCAGCTGTTCTTCCCAATGATCTTCATGCTCTCTTGTGCAATGTTTGAGCTTATTATCTTTGAGATAGCTGCTGTGCTGGAATCAGGGTGAGCAATATTTGACTTTCATCAACTGCTAATATTGTACAGTACATACATAGAGCACAACAAGTATTTAATATCTGAACCTAAATAATGTAAATGTTAAAATGAATCTCGCACACATTACTGTGTCATTTTTTTCTAGGTCTCGCTACCTCTACTGGCAAGTGGTGCTGTACTCAATGCTCATCATGCTGATCTTGGTCATACCATTCTACCTCTGCCACTTTGCTGTTTCAAACATTAGAATGGGTAAGTTTTATCATTGTAAGCCCTGAATAGCAAGTTAAGTGGTAATCAAAGACAAACCACCCTTTTTTCTCAAACCATGTTACAATAGACCCCAACTCCCCCAATTTAACACAAGAATGAAACCAAGAATTATTATGAAAAATTGAAATGTACCTGTATTAAGCCTTAAGTCCTGGGTTAGGGTGCTGCTGACAGTAACACCCCCCTCCAGCTGGGATAAACCAAGAAAAAAATAAACTTTCCCAAAAATAAATAAATAAATAAATAAATAAAATAAAAATAAAAATAAAAATAGAAAAAATGGCGGGAAAATAGCGGACGTTCTGAAACGTCACCCGGGGCCTGAAGGTTAAAATTGGTCAATGTATTTCAATGGAAAAGTAGGGGTAATGAATTGCAGCCCCAAAACATACACCCAAAAATTTCCTAGGCCACCACTTTTTCTCACTTCCACACTAATTCCACTATTTCAAAACACTTTTTAACAAATTACAACTCCCCTTGAGTTTGAGTAACTGCTTCTTGGACTACTGTTTGGGTGTTCAAAATAATGCAGATCCGCACTTATGTTCAGCTGAAGTCTACAGCCTTAATTTTTTTTTCAGCCATGTTTTTTCCTACGTTAATTAAATGTGGCTGTACACCATCATGTTATAATGAAGATGTTTTAAAAATAAAAACATTTTGCAAGCTTTGAGATAGGTGTTTATGTTGCTATATAGCCGCCAATACCACATACATTCATTACAGACGTCCTCACCATGTCGGTCATGGAGTACAGTAGAACCTCGATAAATCGGACTAATGGGGGCAAACCCCAGTCTGAAAAATTTGAAAGTATATAAGCGAATCTATGGGTGGAAGGGGTGGAGATGACACTGCTTATCTGAACTTTAAAGAAAATCAGTTGTTTTTATAATTTTATTACAGCAGCTTCAGCAACTAAGGTCTCTAAGTGCATGACAAGTTTTTAAATCACTATTACATCAACAATAAAAAAAGCCGGTTAAAGAAATATTTTAGGGGTATAGTGTGGGTGGGAGATTTATTGTAATCTGGGGCAAGGGGGGGGGGGGTTCCCTCCCCCAAGATCCCTTTAGCACTTTCAGAGGTTATCGGCACAGAGTCTGTGCCAACAGTCACTCATGAGTGAAGTGGTTGTGTCACCCTGTATGTGCCACAGAAATTTTTTTTCTTTGTCGGTACTGGTTTTGTTACCCAAGTCCCATGAGGATAGTAATTATATTCTTTGATATAATTCTCATAGTTTATCAAGGATGAGCCTTTGTTACTAGATTTGAAAAGTTTGTTATTCATGAAAAAAAACACAGTAGGTATCTTGGTACGATAACTACCGTCTCTGGCAGTATCTGGAACTTTAGACGCTGCCGGGAGTCGCTACGATGTTTGCAGGAGGGGTGTCACAGACGTTGTGATGATGATGCTGATGTACTCTTTGGCGACAATGTACTTCGCTCTGTGATTCTGATGAATCTGTAGAACTGGATGATAATGGTAAGCAGGACTGCATATCAAAATTTTTTATGACAATTACAAAATTAGTTTCTGCATTATTTGTCAAAAAAGTTTACCGCACAGGTTATGAAATATATCAATCCACGGAATGTAATTTCATTACATTGATTACACATTGCAGACACATCTGATGAAAATACTCCTAGTTCTGACACCAATCATGTAACCAATGTACCAGGCAGAAAGCGTGCGAGGGTTAGTCGGGAAGAAATCGGTGGAAGAGGTGATTTAGGTGAGTGACACGTAACATTCTCAATTAACGAATTTTCGGTTAGCAATTAGCTCCCATATGGATTTTCAGTTCCATTAACGAACAAAACTTCTTGAAAGCCTTAAGCGAAAGCGGCTTTGCTGTGTGAATCAGCTGATCGGCTAGTCCGCCAATACAGTGTCGGTTCTATGTTTACATATGTTTCCAGTGGAGTAAATATCAAGAAAACTGTGCTCCTTAATATTTTTGCATTTTTTATATTAATATTATTGGTCATTCTAAAATTTAGCCATCCAAGCTCTGTCTACATAAAGTTTTTCAACTACAGGGATTTCTGTTATAACGCGTGTTTTGACAACGCGAATTGGCTCTAACGCGATTGATGAATAGAGGAACAATATTTGTAAAACGTGTTTGCTCTAACGCGATTCCAGCGATTCCACTCGAACGGTTGTTGTGGCTTGGTGCGGGGTTATGCAGTGTTTACAGTTCACGTTCGACATCACATGTTCAATTGATTTATGTGTTTTGCTTGTGAACAATTGCAGAAATAATTTACCGTATATCTTGGCCTATAAGAAGGAATTTGAACCATAAAAAAATTAGCCCAAAGTTAGGAGGTCGTCTTAGGCACCAGATATAAAATTCTTACCTCTTAAATTTTGTGGTTTAGCGTGTCAAGAGTGGTGATGGAAACATGGTAAACCACTCACAAGGTCCTACCACTAATTATTTTATACTGAAACTTACGTTTGGGAAGCTGGATTAAAATGAAGATTACCGGTATATTAAAATAATAAAAATGTATTATAAACCAGTCTAACATACCATAAAAGAACAATATACCCCGGTAATAAACACAGCTGCTATCATCACCCCCCCCCCCATTTGCCAGTGACAAGAAAGGGAAAGTGACCTTGACTGTGACCGCCTGTGGCTATTTTTAGCCGTCCTTGTGTTCGGAAGTGGTCAGTAATGCATATCTGTATATTTACTGTTGATAATACTTATCTCCAATAAATAATTCATTTAAAATTTATTTTTTTACAAAGAATATTCAGTAAATGACTGCGTTAATTCTTGAAACTACCGACAGTGGTAAATTTAGGATATGAATGATGAACAGAAGTCACGTCATGGATTCGGCGTTTGGTCCTTAATGATCACCATAAATGTCTGGTCAACTTCACCTACCAGGTATAATAGTAGCCTCCCTTTTTTGCGAAACAAGTATATAAATTAAAGAAAATACTTGCAGTGTGTTCAATATGTTACAGTATATTATAAATAAATAAATAAACAAATAAATCGGCAAATCTATTTCAAGTAAATGGAAATATTTTACTCACACCGACATTAGTTCCAGTTAAATAACTGACGCTTAAGTGAGTCACTAGTGTACACCAGCCGGTAAAATTTGATGCCAATACTTTAAGTGAATTGGCCTTATTTTAAATAACCAACCATAAATAAATGCAAAAAGGAAAAAAGATCAAAGGTGAGAAAATTTATATTGTATGTATGTTGTGTTGTCAAAGGAAGAGAAACAATTGAAACTCTGCAATTGTGTGTAAATGAGGCAGAAAGATAGATCAGCAACCTAAGACTTGATCACAATTTTCGTGATGCCATATGGAAGTAGGATCTACCATTAGACAATACTGTACATTATTCTTCCAATATCTTCCCAGGCGGTAGTATCTCCCTGTTTGGTAGCTGCCTACTACCTATACACAAATTTTAGTAATATTACTTTGATACAACATGATAAACAGGGCCGGTGCAAGATGATTTGGCGCCCTAGGCAAGCCTTTAGATGTCCCCCCTTGAAAGTTTTGATAAGCAAATAAGTATGTAAATAAATTAGTCTTTTATTGTAAGAAAAATTTAGTGGACAATTATTTGTAATGTTGACAATCGTGAAACTGGAGATTAGCTTTTACTGTAATGGATACATAACCAAATATATTCTACAAAACATATATCAAATTATTGTTTAAAAAAATACAATCACTAGTACACACTCACGCAGTACATACGTCCACTAGTACACACTCACGCCAGTACATCACGTCACTAGTACACATCGTAACACCGTATGATAAAACTTGACAAAATGACGAGAAGCACTAAGATTGAAACAAAGACTAGCTAAGGTATATCCTGTGTACAGCATTATAGACAGAGTACAAGAGAAATCAAATAACTACATACATTATAAAAATAATAAGACAGTTTCAACTTACTGTTTAGCAGGATAGCCAGCTGTTGAAGTTGTTGCCACTGCACCACACTTTTGGAGATGACTGACTCGACTGAAGTGGCCTGGTCACTGGTGTCTGTGAGTAGTCTGGGCTGAATCTTGATCTCCAACTAATCAAGTTGTTCCAAGGTTACTATTGCCTGGCGGCTGGCGGCTCTGGCGCTGGCCAGTCTCAGTGGGATTATGTTATGGGGTCAAACTTCAGAGGTCAGGTAACCTTGCCTCATCCTGACAAAGGCAGGGAAGGCGGCTCAGCCCCTGGCAGTAAGGGAGGGAGGGATGGTGGGGTTGGAGAAGGTTCCTCAGATGTCAGCCTTCAGGTCACTGCTCGACAGTTCTCCAGGCCGCCAAAGTTAAGGACCGGGTTAGTCCCTCCGAGAGGGTGAATAATATTAAAAAGAAACACAGTCGGCTACCGTCTACCTAACCTCGCCTCCCTCCGACCCCCCTTCTAATATCCTGCTCTGACCCTCCACGGCTCCACCACAGTGTCCACAGTTTCCCTTCATTTTAATTTTATCCAAGTTTGCCTGAATTTGTGGCGCCCCCAGATGTTGGCGCCTAGGCGATCGCCTGGATTAGCCTAGTGGTGGCGCCCGGCCTGATGATAAATTAGGCAAACAATGAAAATAAACAAACAAAAGTTATTTACGAACCTTCTCTCTGAGAACAGAGGGTAATAGATGGAGATAGAGATAAAAGGCTATTTATAGCCCGTCTTTTGTGAAAGTCGACCACACAAAATAATTCATTAAATTATATTTTTTACATGGAATGTTCAGTACATAACTGCGATTATAAAATAGGCCGAGATATCTGGTATGTAATATGTGTGTGTGATGTAAACAAGTCTCTCTCTCTCTCTCTCTCTCTCTCTCTCTCTCTCTCTCTCTCTCTCTCTCTCTCTCTCTCTCTCTCTCTCTCTCTCTCTCTCTCTCTCTCTCTCTCTCTCTCTCTCTCTCTCTCTCTCTCTCTCTCTCTCTCTCTCTC